TCTCCTCTCTCTCTCTCTCTCTCTCTCTCTCTCTCTCTCTCTCTCTCTCTCTCTCTCTCTCTCTCTCTTTCTGTCTATGTGTAGGATGTCAGTGCTCCCTGCTTTCGACCAACGAATGGAAATTCTATATGGTTTGATACATTCATCTCTCGACCAAGCTCGATTCTATGAAAGCATCGTTATCGAGGAGTGGGCTTTTCAAAAATCGTTTCTTCCAGGAATTTATTTACACAGACTCGTTTTATTCGCTGACGTATAAATCAGGTTTTACCATTCATCGAATAACACATTCATATGTTTATATTTCAACCTGTTTTCACCAAGTCGCGTAAAATTGTATTGAATCATTGGTTACCAAAACATTTACTATAGAAATAACTATAGAAATAACTATAGAAACATCTACATTTATTTATTTTTCACACGTTAACTATAAAACAATACAATTTCTTTAAATAAATAATGAAAAAATAATTAAAAAAATATATGCGACATTGATTTAATAAAAAAAATGAGAATTTTAATAATGAAAAAATATTTTGTGCCGGAAACATTATGATTTGATGGATTGTAACTAAAGATGAAACAAGTGAAATTGTCCCAGAAGTAATTTCGCATATCATATATATATTGTCAAAATGACATTGCAGGAATAAAAAAGCGTTTATTGCGTCAAAGATGAAAAATTGACCAAGGACGGACGATAAATTTTTTTGACTTGATAAACTCTCTCTACTCCTGTACGTAAAAACAAAACACTTCGATATTCCTTTTACAACGTACTTTCCTTTACGATAGTATTATTCGCGACTTTATAAGCACCTTCAAACTTGTTAATCCGTATACTTTGTGTTTTTCAGCTTGTAATTAAAAAAATCGAGGGCAAGCGCGGTGAATCGTTAAATTACATGACTTTAAAGTGTGTCAGCCATGTATAACAATTATGGTACTGAGACTGTATTTCGAAATACTTTGTCCTGAAAATGCTGTTTCTCCAATAAAGAGCATAGATCTTTGATAGGCGAAAAAACTACGCGGCTATCCTAAAATAGGATCAACACGTCCGATAGATGCTGGAAAACTCGCACAAAATCTCAGGTTAACAACTATCCAATAAACGAAATTTATTCTTGCAAACGCGCACAACTATAGTGTTTCTTGATATCCTAAACTTGCGATGCACGTTATTTGAAACGGAAATTTGAAACAAGAATCAAATTTTATTTTGGTAGATGCACGTTTTCATCATTGCACATCTTTCCCCCCTTATATACACATTCTTCTTATTAATACATATATATCCGTAAATTTTTTTGCAAAAATTCTGCGTTCACTTTTTATTATTTTTCCACGAACCAATCTTGTTATGTTTTTGTTCTGTCTCGATGCGATTTCTATATTAATTGGTTGCACTCTTACCGCAATTTTGTAGTTACTTGAAAATGGAGTTTTCATAAAATTCCCGATGTAATTCCCCTTTCATCACTACTTAGCACAATGCTTATAAATTGAGACAAATGATCCCCGGTTTACGACCCCCTATTAAGCTGGAACTCCCACCATCGAGTTCATATACATATAAAAATGTAGCTATTTATGTTAGTGTTGTTTAGTGCTAATTTGTTGCTCTAGTCCGAATTTTGTTGCTCCAGCCGTTCGCCAGAAAATTGCACTCAAAGTTGGAGGGGGGGGGGTCAGCTTGACATTAGCTAAAAAATATATATAGGCGTGTCGTATCAAAAAAAAAAAAAAACAAACATACCAAAATTTGTTGCTAATTTGTTGCTTTAAGCAACAAACATAGCGAGAAAACATTTCCGAAAAAGGAAGGAAAAAAGGCATTTTAATCCGTATATCTGTGGCAAAACATTCAAACTGGCTGTTTATTTTATTTCAGATTCAGATTACAAAATCGAACGCTTCCGTGTACGCGGATTAGCCGCTCGGATTTCTTCCCTGTGCAATTTCACGGATGGCCACGCAAATAATTCGAGCCCTCATCGTAATTGATGCGCGATCGATATCTATGCTTTTATTTCTCGACCACTATCAGTGTTCTCTTTCTTTATCGTAAATGGTGATTTTTATTTTTATTTCATTACATATATTTTATTACACGGATGTGCAATCGTAACCAACGTGGTAATCCCACGAGAAAATTTCTAGTGGTCGTTATGCTGCAACTCTTATCCTTGTAACACAATTTCAACTTGACCTTTTTAAAAGCGTGTCTTTGTAAAAACCGCAAAATCTCCACGTAGATTCAAATCATATCACGGAAATATCTTGGTTTTCAATTCGTCGTTTTTGAACCAGAAAACATGAATCTACATTAATACGTAGAAAATACGTTAAATACTAACATTACGAAATATGAATTAAGCAGATTTAACGCGATGTATACAGAAATAAAGCTTGGCTTACTCCTGTACTCGGTAGTAGAATAGAAAGTAATAACACCGCCGAGTATATAATATCCAAGAATGACTTTTTACTTGCTTTATGATAATTACTTAATAATATTGTAGTGTACTAATAGAATCTCTAGAAAAAAATTAAAATTATCAAATTCTTTCGATAAATTTATCTTTCGAATTTTACCGTTTAATTACAATTTTTTGTTACAGTTTACAATTTATTCCCAATGATTCTTTTAATTAAAAATAATTATATTTGTATTTGTTTTGTAATAGATCAAGATGCAAGGTAAATGTAATTGTATACTTTCATGGCAACAGGATATGAATAGCGTCACTAGTTGAAAATTTAGTTCCAAATTTAGTCGAAAAATAAATGAGTCGTTTTGTTTGTATCACTATTATCACAATTGATGAAATGTAATTTAATATTATTGTAAAACAATAACACAAAAGTTATGAGGTGATAGCATGGACTAGTTTCTTATAAATCTTATAAATTCAGATAATAGAGAATTGTAATAAATTTCAAAGTTTCTGTT